GGTTCCATCTTTCTTTATATCATAAATGCTTGTTATTTATTTCTTTGTATTAGTGAATTGAAGGATACATCTCTGTTATACATTGGGAATGGAAAATTTACATTCCAGTAAATTCCAGTAACTTCTCCTTCCTTAAATTCATATAATTCTGCAAAAATCAAAAAGATACAGTACTTGGTAAATTCAGCAAAATATTAACTTAATATAAAATATATATGTCACTAATAACAATATAAAAATTTTCACAAATATAGCAATACAAAAAATAAAGCACTTTGGAAATGTTTTGCCCCTAAGGCTTATGTACATTATAGCATGTACCTACTACACAGCCCATCAACTATGCTTTTTGGCTAAAATTAAATTTATTATTTAAATCTTGAAACTGATATTTTCAAAAGACCAAGTATTTTATGGAATTAAAATTTTGCTACATAAATCCTAACCTGGATTGGACAGACAGGCAAGACAATTTTTTTTTAGCAGAATGACAGAATTGTATGTGAATACGAATGAGTTTTTACCTTTTGCATATTTATCCCATTCTTTTCGATATTCAAGATCAGTATATACTTTGGCACAGATATCTGGAGAGATGCCCTCAAGCACACCAAATGTCTTGTATTCATAAAGGCCAGATGACTTTGGAAAGAAAAAATTACAGTGAATATAATGTTTTTGAAGTTTGAATGATTGATGGTATTACTATGGTCAGCCATTAAAGTGCCCCACAACACAACCAGGACCAAACAGAAGTGAAAATACAATAGTAATAATATTTGTCTCATTGGTAGACCCATAATCATTTTAATGTATTTTATTAAGCAGTATGCAAGACCATGGATGTGGTACGTTACAGATATAAGGTATTGCAAATGCACTACTTTCTGAAACACAGTAAAACTTAGCATATGACAACTATCGCTATGAAAGATTAGTAAAGCAGGTAATTTCAGCAGCCTTTTCATTTAATTTAATTTAATTTATTTCATCCAAAGAACGTTAAAATTGACAAACACAAAAAACAGAGAGCAAAAAACAACACTCAACTGGCCGGACAGGATTGCCAAAAAGTGAACTGAATCACTGTCTAGTGGGGGTCAGTGCATTGCTCCGAAGGTCCTTTGGTCTGAAAGGTCGTTGGTCCGAAAGTCTGTTGGCCCGAAATAAATATATTTGAAATATGGACAAAAATATAAAAAAAGAAAACACATGATAGACCTATATTAGCTAACAGCAACAATAAAATATTATTGATAGTTGCAAGATGCTCAACTCTGCAATATCCTATGAGCAAACAATTCACTTGACATGCGGTATAATATAACCTTATTATTGGACTTCACGTGAAGAGATAATTACACATTTTTTAGGCTACTTTCATGCAGGTTTAATGTCAACAGGCCCATGTTTCAGCGGCTTTGTTTGTTTTGTAATGTAAATGAGTGAGGCAAAAATATGCTTGTGGCAACTTTATTTCTAACTATCCTTTTAAAACATAATTAAGGCTTTTTACATGTAGGGCCTTACTTTTGTTCATTATACTTAACAGTACTAGACTATTTGCGAAACCTGATTTTTATCAAGTATTATTATATAAAATAAATAAAGCTGCATAGGCATGTGACAAAATAAAATAAAACAAATAAATTCTTTTGTAGTTATTATTGTTCTTTCTTTGTAGGGCATCAAAACTTAAAGCTTGCTTGTAATTGATGCCTTTTCAATCAATCTTTGAATTGAGAATTGTAAAAAAAAAATATACATGATAAAGGAAATTGATTGAATAAAATTTATTGTGAAGATTAAAAAAAAAATGGTTGTAATCTGCCTTAGTAGAAATTTATATATATATATATATATGTATATATGTATATATATATATATATATATATATACTGTATTAATGTATAAATCAAATATAAGTATTCTTTAAAGCCAACAACAAAAGCATAGATCACATAATACAAAAATCACATAATAATAATATAGATATAAAAATACAGAATCACTCAAGGAAGCAGATAAAAAACGCATTCAGTGGTCAAGAACGTCACTCAAAGAGCCCAGCTGACATAACAAACGGTTTCAATAAGTATTATAACAATTATTCTTGAAAAACCAGGTCACTAAAATTAGGAACCTTCAGACGAAAGACCCTTCGGACCAATGGGCATTCGGACCAAAGGTACTCACCCAACTTAGGAACTTCGGACCAACAGGCCTTCGGACCAATGGGCCGTCAGACCAAAGGTACGCACCCGTCTAGTGGCTCTCCGGTGCCAACAAGAACATAAATTAAATTAGCATAAAATATCAATAAATTATATTTAAATATATATGTACAAAATTAATGAATCAGTCAAAATTTATTTAAAAAAAAAATACAATAGAATTTCAATAAATCAACTAGGCTAGGGCCCAGTCCTATTTATAATAATTTTGTGTTCTTATAACCATAATAATCCAGGGGTTCCTTTACACCTAGCTAGGCCATAATTATTAGCCTAATTAATCTGGGGTGCCTGCAAAAAAAAGCCGGGTGTGAGGGCGAGTTAGTGTGACACACCGCTGGTACTGTAGGTAGACATTGTACCTCTTTATATTTTCGGTAAATTTTCACGTTCATTGCTTCGACGAAAAACTCGTATTCGTCAATCACCGGATTGTCTAACTCTTTACAAGCATCTTCAAATTCTTGACATTCAAACATTTTGAGATCAAATTACAACATTAGAGCGTTCCTGACAACAAAAGCACTACCGTATTACCGTATTGTAGTACAGCCCGAATATAAAATGAATGAAATTTTTCAGGAATTGGTGGCACCGCCTTGAAACGTATTAGTGTGCGGATCAGAACGAAATTGGTATACAGAGTTGATTGAATTTACGATTTGTATTAGATGCACAATTCTCATTAATTCAACCAATTCAACATGGCTGCACCCATCATCGAGAAGAGAAACAAGTAGGCCTAGGGCGATATTATTTCAAAAGAACTGCAAGTAATTTTAGGAAAATACGAACTAGGCCGACAATATAATCTTTGGTTTTTAACATCGTCGATTGTAAGTTTTTTTTTTGTAATATAGGCTTAAGCTTAGCTAGGTATGTATAGAAATTATTGATTGATTAGGACTAGCCTAGCTAGGGCCTATGTCATAGGCTATGATGCTAAAAATGAGGGCGCTTTATATGTGGCGGTAGTTTTTGGATTGGACTGGAAACTGAAAAATAACAAGCGTTCACTGTACGCATAGCATTTAAATTATAGGCCTAGCCTAGTCTGGATTTATTATTTTGTAATATTAGTAATAATGTTGTTGGAATCTCTCTCCATATGATGTGTCTAACTAAATATTATTACCGTAGTTAGTCCTAGGCCTAGAGATAATGTAGTCGTACGACTATGCTAGAGCATACATAGCCTATAGGCCTAGCTAGAGAGGCTAGCCTAGTTTAGTTAGGCCTAGGCCCTAGTTAGGCTTAGTAGTAGTTGACTATTTTTTGCACTCAAATAGCCTGATAGATATGGCCTAGCCTAGGCCTAATCCTACACTAGCCTAGCCTACAAAGCCTAGAGGCAGTCTATATCAGCCTCTACTACTCTAAAGGGCTATAATGTTAACACAAACCAGAACGGTTTATAGCAGGAACCAGATAAGATAACATACACGACACCTTCACCCTTGGCCTTGCCACTCACTTTATACAAGAAAATCCCCAATCCAGATAACAAGAAGATGATGATAGGATCACACTGGCCAATAGGAAACTGGAAATCGAAATGCCCTTATAGCTGAGAGGTTCTCCTCTATGGCCGCCAGTACTGGCACCAGCTAGGAAAGGGAGGGGGCAGGAAGGAAGGCATTTTTCCTGACGGACGAGCCTGGACACTGTCGTCTATCGTCGCATTCGCCTCCAAAAAATAATTGCTTATCCAAGCGTTATCTTCATTTCCAATAATAATGGTCTAATAGTAATAAATGCTCATGCGTACCGTACTTAGCAGCTTTTTTGATTTATATTATTCAGGTCTTGACTTTGATAAATATGAGTGGTGATCAAAGCAGTGGGATGTCTACATTACAAGAAAGCAGTCTGCTACAAGTAGAGACTGCTGATGACTGGCAGGAGTATGAGACACAATTCTTAGGATTCACTCCAAAATCATTCGCTGATGGAGGTACTCACTGACTAATATATTTTCAATGCAAACAATCATTTATTACCTTCCTTTCAAACAGAAAAAAATACAAAAAGAAAATTCAGAAAATTGCGGTTAGTTTCTGGCATTTAAAATGTATATAGAAATTTCACTCATAAAAAAGTATAGTACTTTAATAATGAAAATTTTAAACAAAAATTATATAAATTTATATATGTATACCCATAATAATTATCAATATTAATTAATAATTTTTTTAAATTCACAAATGGACAGTAACATTTTGATTGACTTTTACCTAAGAACTTGTTGTTTTTTAGTGTACAATGCTATACTTGATTACCTCCATTTGTTGTTTTTTAGTGTACAATGCTATACTTGATTACCTCCATGATGGTATTGAGCTGCTGGAAAAATATTTACTGTCTGAGGTGAGATGTAAATTTTGATTACTGTTGTGTCGGCTAACTCGTACATGTATACCATATTTACTTGAATAAACGCCTCCGCTTTGAATAAACGTCCTCTTGAATAAACCCCAAACCCCCCCCCCCCCCTTCTAGAGCCTCATTTGGAATAAATGCCTCCCTAAATGCCTCAATAATTCTTAATAAAATAATAATAATAATAAAAATTGAATTCAATAACTTTAATAATTTTTCTGTTTCAGTTTGAAAAGGAAGGAGTTTCACAGGAAGTAATTCGTGAGGTAAGGTAAACAAAATGATAGTATCCAACAGACAACTGTATTTAAGAACCATAACTCAGAAATGACAGTATATATTTATTGGTTTTATGTGTTCGAACTTTTTATTGTCTATCTGTATCTATCTATCTATAGATTGAATCTACGTATATCACATAGTAAAATTAGATAAATAACATGCCTGGGCAAAGTGCAGCCGCGTGTGGGCCACATGTGTCCCGATTACAAGGAAATAAAAACCCTATATGCAGGGGTCCCAAGTTGGAAGAAGTCATTTCCGGGATATCTGCAGTGGTGGGTCGAAGGGTGGGGAAACAAACCAAGTACAGTATAGTAAGAAGAGAGAGACATTCATAGATGGATGGTCTAGACCACATCAGCCCACCATGGTTGGAGCTGAGGTAATTTATGATTATGGCACCTAAATGGCCGGAAATGGCCCTCTCAGACTTGACCTCCTCTTCCCTTTAATTTGCAGAGATGATTTAATTTCCGGGAGATTCTTGAGTGTTTGCGGGAGTGCGGGAGACCTTCCCGATTTCTGGGAGACTACCGTGAGTTCTGGGAGACTTGGTACCCTTGTATATGTGCAGTCTGCTGACAAATTTGGCTGAAAGACTTTTGTATTTCTCTAATCATCAGTAAAAGCAGTGTGTGAAGGCTTTTGAGCCTTCATTTGCTTCATTTGCAATATTCTATGAGAGTTAATCCTACAAAATATTATTGTTAGATTTCCCAAGTTATCTAGTTCTTATGTCCAAAATTCTTCTTTTGATATTATGATTCTGGTGAAACATTCAAATGTAAAATTAAGTTATGTACATATTTGTTTTTTAAAAACTGTTTGTTAGCGCTGTTGATTTGTCATCCTCAGTCATGTTTTCATTCTTTAATTTTTAATTAATTAATAATGATTTTTAAATTAATAATTAGGACTTTTATTCACACAGATTCTCATTGTTTCTTCCAGGGATCTGAAAAACTTCTTCGATATTTTAGTGGTCGCTTTGACAAAGCTTTTGACAGGCTAGAAAAATACCTCATAAAAAACATTTTCCATATTCCAAGCAAAACCATATTGCCTGGGGATGCGGTAAGTTGATTGATTTTTTAATAACTGGAATATTAAATTTTATCTCTTTATGCCAAAGAAATGCACTGGCGGATCCTGGAATTTGAAATAAAGGAAGCCCAGGGAGGGGCTTTCACAGATGGAAAGTCTATACTTTACTACCTCCAAATATTACTACAGTGTTTTTTTTTTCTCCCTGGACTCTGCCACTAAATGTCACAACAATTGAATATAGCTATGATTAACTGCTGTACTTAAAATTAAAAAAACATAACATTCCATCAAGCCAAGTTTGAGTTATGCAGGCTACAAATTTCAGAGTTCTTTTGTATAGTTTTTTTTCCTCCTAGATGATTTCAGTAAGACCACTATATTTTTAATTTTTTTCCCGAAGTTCAAAGAAACTAATGTTGAGAAATTAAGGTATAGAAAATATGGCCTTAATTTTCTTAATAGTATGGAATTTAATTGATTACAAAAAGGCTTAAATGTATTTTTGGTTAGCATTTTTGTGATTTCCTTTCTAGGTAAACCAAGACCATGCTTACAAAGATGGAGAAGAGCAAGCACTTGATGAAGAAATACAGCAACTCCAAATCAAGATTAAAAATGTTTGTAGGATAATTATTTACTGGTTTTATTTATATCATATTATATTATCATTTATTTATATCATCACATATGAACTCAATGTTGCTGCATAGCATTATGTATATTGGTAAAATGTATTTATAGAAACTTTATAGATTTATATCATATAATAAAGTAACCAACAGGGCCACCAAGGTTTTCTTTAGATTTTGAATCCTGGTATTGGAGGCAATTGATTTCTCACCATATACAAGTACAGTGCTAGTATTTGCACACACACTTGAAACATTAATTGATCTTCGATTATTTAGGATGAAAATAAGGGCAATGGTGACAATATCACTCATTCATATATTCATTTTAAAGACCACAAACACATCCGTACTATGCGTTTCTTTGTACATTATTGAATGAATGATTTATTATTTACAGATGAAGTATATGAATGCATATCTTAAGCAGTACATGGTTGATATGGAGAAAGTGCAGGGTCAGTTAGATGCAGTGTTGACAAAGGTAGAAAGCATGGAGAAGGTGTGTCGCCAAGCTGGAGGTACGTCATTAAGTACAGCATATAAATGCTGTCTCTGATAATTATAGGTTATAGCAGATGGCATAAAAACACATAGTAATAATAATAATTGTGATATAATAACTACCGGCACTTATATATCAGTGCAAAATATTTAGAGTTTATAACGATGAGAACAAAATACAGTTCATACTATAATTCCGATATTTGCATTTTGTAGCAGATGATGTTTAAGAATCCCCTACCATAGCTGTCGGAAGCATTTGCAAGTGGACCGGCTATTATAGTCAGATCGGTGGGGGGAAGGAACTAAACAAATTTTGTTGTAAAAGTTAGTAGAGTGCTGAACATCCACTATCAGCCTCATCATGGTTGTTGAACAACTTTTTTGCAACTCTGAATGCCCCGAAATAAATGCTGACAATTTGTAGAGCCGCTAGCCCCTCCCCTCAAAGAAATCAAATTAGCACGGAGATAGAGTCTATGTTGAAAATATGGTACTTCTGGATGCCTGGAAATACAAGCTGGCAAACCTGTATAGCCACCACCCCTCCCCATCCTGTCTATTGGCAGACAAAGATTTAAAGTTAGTGGGACTAGAGATATACCCACCTCTGCCCCATATGTTGTGGGCCAAGGTGAGCAAATTTTGAAACTTAAGGCATCTAAATACTGTATAACTAAGTTATTGTTATGAAAATATGTAGTACAATATATACTCAGGGCTTGCCCTAACTTTTTTTGGTAACTAGCCCACTGGGCTAGTTTACTAGAGATTTTACTAGCTCACAGAATATTTTACTAGCCCACAGACATGAAAAAAATTTTTGTTTCAAAATATTTATTAGTGACAATTAAATTTGAAGGTTGATTTGCAATTTCATAATTTCTGTAGCATTGCTGTTTGAGCTACCCCCTCAAATTAGTGTTGAATAAATAAATAAAAAATCTCCCATGCTGCAAAATCAACTATGGTTATAACCTAACAGGACAGATGAGCATGTAGATGTGTATAAGAGACAGGTGTGTGAAGGCTTTTGAGCCTTCATTTGCTTCATTTGCAATATTCTATGAGAGTTAATCCTACAAAATATTATTGTTAGATTTCCCAAGTTATCTAGTTCTTATGTCCAAAATTCTTCTTTTGATATTATGATTCTGGTGAAACATTCAAATGTAAAATTAAGTTATGTACATATTTGTTTTTTAAAAACTGTTTGTTAGCGCTGTTGATTTGTCATCCTCAGTCATGTTTTCATTCTTTAATTTTTAATTAATTAATAATGATTTTTAAATTAATAATTAGGACTTTTATTCACACAGATTCTCATTGTTTCTTCCAGGGATCTGAAAAACTTCTTCGATATTTTAGTGGTCGCTTTGACAAAGCTTTTGACAGGCTAGAAAAATACCTCATAAAAAACATTTTCCATATTCCAAGCAAAACCATATTGCCTGGGGATGCAGTAAGTTGATTGATTTTTTAATAACTGGAATATTAAATTTTATCTCTTTATGCCAAAGAAATGCACTGGCGGATCCTGGAATTTGAAATTGAGTTATGCAGGTTACTAATTTCAGAGTTCTTTTGTATAGTTTTTTTTCCCTTGATGATTTCAGTAAGACCACTATATTTTTAATTTTTTGCCTGAAGTTCAAAGAAACTAAATGCTGTCTCTTATACACATCTAGATGTGTATAAGAGACAGGTTTTCCAACTCTTGAAATCGGTAAGGTAAACTTTCTCATTCTTATTATGTACAGTAAATTAAAAAAAATGAGTAGGCTAGTGCAGTAGTTGCATACCTATATTTTAAATTTTAACTGCAGATTCGTACCACTGTTGGGAAGGAGAATTTACACAGATCATCATCATCAGATAGAGAGAGCAGCTTAGCTCAGTCGGCTAATCTGGTGGTAGCAACTGTGTGTGCGCTGAACCGTGGAGATCTTTAGGTCCCCGGTTCAAACCCCGTCGCTTCCTCTCCTTGTGTTTCAGCTAGAGGGCTGAAATACAAGTTACATAGCGCACCGTCTTTCGAATAAGACGGTTAAGCCGTTGGTCCTGTGTGCATTTTTGGCCGATGTGCACTTTAAAGAACACAGTACCCTCTTCGGAAAAGAGTAGGTGATTGTCTCCCGGTGTACTGCCAATCACCACCCAGCCGTTGTAAGCATTTTGCATTATAGTCAGAGCGGTGGGGGGGGGGGGGGGGTAGGAAGGAACTAAATAAATTTTGTTGTAAAAGTTAGTAGAGTGCTGAGCATCCACTATCAGCCTCATTATGGTTGTTGAACAACTTTTTTGCAACTCTGAATGCCCGGAAATAAATGCTGACAATTTGTAGAGCCGCTAGCCCCTCCCCTCAAAGAAATCAAAATTAACACGGAGATAGAGTCTATGTTGGAAATATGGTACTTCCGGATGCCTGGAAATACAAGCTGGCAAACCTGTATAGCCACCATCCCTCCCCATCCTGTCTATTGGCAGACAAAGATTTAAAGTTAGTGGGACTAGAGATATACCCACCTCTGCCCCATATGTTTTGGGCCAAGGTGAGCAAATTTTGAAACTTAAAGCATCTAAATATAACTAAGTTATTGTTATGAAAATATGTAGTACAATATATACTGTACATCGTACATTTACTAAATTTATCTATATTGAAATATTTGCTCCAAGCGTACACTATATTCCATATTCTAAATTTCGTGGCATGAATATATCCCCATAGCAGGCTCGAGGGTGTGTGAATAATGTTCATGAGGTACTCTCCCATATAATACTAATAGGAAGATTTTTTTTAAAGGGCATCATATTCTTACTGGTATGACTCAAGAAAAAATATAGATAATAAAGACCTATGCACTGTATATGATGCTAAAGAGTGGGCACAGGAAAAAATCATCCAGGTTAAAAGTGCTGTATCTGGACACAGAATGTGGTAGCATTGACCAAATTACAATTCGTAAGATTATTTTAAATCATGGGAATAGACAAATGTAGGTCTACTGCGAAAATGATATATTGTTCAAAATGCAATTAAGTTGCTTATTCCTCCATGAATAAATAAAGTGCAGGAAACACGAATATATACAAGGAATAACAATGATAACTGTAATTATATCTACACGACGTGCAGTATTGAGAAATATTAACAATGCAATTAATTAAATAGGCCTAGAACATGTTCTATGAATACACATGATACAGTATGCTATGAATTATCTATGGAAATACAGTAGGCCTCCTATGCCTACACAAATAACGTCGCGTTTTGACAAACTTACTGCTCGTACAATTTAATTTACACTTACCAAATTCAGTCTGAAGCATAATCAATTATTTATCACGCTCCAGGTCAGTTATACTATCATTTGAATTGTTAAAATGCTGTAATTAAATCCTGTGTTTTCTTCTGGTAGACCTTACAGCGATTACACTCAGACAGACCATGTAGATACCTCCATGTACAGATCTAACAGGTGATATAGACAGAGCACTAACATTCAAGGGCTATCCAGCTTTTTTTGTAAAAGAGTGGGGAGGGGCACAATGTTGTTAAATGTGGCTAGTTTTACAGGGGTTTAGTGGTCATACCGTTTAAACTTTGTTTACCTGGATGCCCAGAAAAGATATGAAATAATTTGGAATCAATGGAAAATAAAGGCCCCGGTAAGGGTGCAGGGAAAAAGCCCTGAGAAAAATCAGTAGTATCGATTTGATATAGACTAATTTGAGTTGCTATATTTAGTCTTATAAAATAGTAATACTTCCAGAAAGCAAAGCCATATCTTCCCATTGAGCACGGGGACTAAAAAGCTGGACAAAAATTTGAAGGTTCTGGTTGTAGCGTATAGGCATGTTTAGTATTGATTTAATTTTCGTTATCGTTGCTTTGCATTGCATTGGAATTGTTGATTTTGTCGGGTCGCCAATCTCGACATCCCCCACCACCACTCGTCTGACACCACGACGAGGTCATCGGACTAAATTAATATTCAAATCCAATCAAAGACGTTATTATGATTGCTGTTACCTAATATTGTAGTCTAAAAGTATAATTTTGGGATGCCCGAAAATAGCAACAGGCAATTATAGAGCCAAATACCACTCCCCAGCAAGGGGCAGAAACAGCATGCATGATGTGAACAAATTATGAAATTATGGCATCTGTGATACCCAAAAATAGCATCTGGCAA